CAGAGCAGCTTCCACTCATTTCCCTGTTTTGAGGAGGTTTTTGGCCCATGTAACATCTGCTCTGAGTGCTCACAGGATTGTGTACGATATTGACAACGCTTTGAAGAATGGTAACCACCAGAGATTGCTACAAATCACACAGGTTGAGTCCCTTCTGAGTTGTAATGTAGAACAGAACTATCAAAAGCTCACTCCTGTTGATAGCTCAGCTCTTAGGAGGCCTAATATAGAGATGGAACTAGCTATTGCTCATGCAGCTTCGATTGCTGGGTTTGAGAAGGAAATTGATGACTTCCCAGAGCATGCATGCATTTGCTGTGAGCGTCTGCATCAGAGAAAGTCAGTGTCTGTTGTTAGTCTCTCTGATGGCTTTAACTCTGAGATATGGCATCAATTAAAGGCACATATTTTGAAGTATCCTCCAACTGTTTCGGGTAAAGTGTTGTACATGTGCTATTACTGCAAGCGCAGGGTGAGAGGTGGGATAATGCCTGCACGTTGTGTCCTCAATGGTCTGCAGACTGTTCCCATTCCCCCAGAACTGGCTGCATTAGACCTACTTAGTAGACAGCTTATCCAGAGGGCAAAGTGCTATCAGACTGTTGTGAGATTAGGTACTTACACTGGTAAAGTGCCCAGATACAATTCCCTGCAGGCCTGCAAAGGAACAATGTTTTTCCTTCCCTTGCCACTAAACAAGACCATAGAAACCTTAAACAAGGTTCAACGGCATACCTCTCTCCTACCAGACCCAGAGTTGTACATTATTGTCAATGGTAGGCCAACCAAGAGTAATGTTGTGTGGCGTAGTTTGGTGGATGTGAACCATGTTAAGACTGCAATAAGAAAGTTGAGGTCTTGTAACTGGCTCTACAGAGACATTCATGAGAAATGCATTGATGAGAGCACTAAACACATCATTGAGGTCTCTAACAATGCAACCACAGAAATGTTGAAAAAGGTTTCCCCAGATGAGGTAGATACATTTCAGGCCTACACCATTAGAAACCTGGATAGCAAGCTCTCCATTGGTTCAGACTTAGAGCAGTACAGACTTATGAGCATCACAGAGGACCCTATTACCAACAAGCAACAGCATTTAGATGTGATGTGTTTCCCTGTGCTCTTCCCAACTGGGAAGTTTGGAGAGTTCCACCCTAGGAAAGAGAAGATTTCCCCTAGTGAGTACGTCAAATCTAGGCTGCTTAACAAGGACTCGCGTTTCCGTAAAGATGCACAGTATGTGTTTTATCTTTTGTGGCAGAAGGAAATGCGACAACTCGCATCAGGTGTTTACAATTTGTTGAAAGAGTACCAGGAGACAGTCCATGTCTGTTAACTTGTTACTAGAGCAGGTGAACACCGCAGACGAGCAGCTAGAAGCACGTTTGTGCACCATGCTCCAGTCAGTCCGTGGTACCAAACAGTTCTGGTTCCTCAGACACAGTGAGCTCAAGTGCATGATAAGAGAGTGGGGCTCGCCTACCCTTTTCCTCACCTTTAGCTGTGCTGAGTATGAGTCCCCTGATATCACTGAGTTTCTTAGGAAAGTGAACAACGTTCCTCCCAGTTACAACATTGGGAAGCTGTGTGTTGAGGACCCAATCTCAGTTTCCAGGAAATTTTCCCTCAAATTCCATGCCTTTTTCCGAAAGATCATTTTGAAAGGTCAGGTCCTGGGTATTGTAGACCACTTTTATTGGAAGAAGGAGTATCAGAATCGTGGGGCTCCTCATTACCATGTCCTACTCTGGATTAGAGATGCACCACTCATTGATAGAGACGATCCCGAGAAGGTGCTAGACTGGATCCAGGATAGAATCACCTGCCACATCCCAGATGAACAGGGTAGCCCTGAGCTGCACAGACTAGTCACCAGGTACCAGATGCACAAGTGCAGCAAGTACTGTAAGAGGCGGAAAAGGTGTGGCAAGACAGCATTCATCACCAGGTGTAGGTTCGGGTTTCCCAGGCCAGTGTGTGAGACTGCTCAGCTCAACCCTGTCCAGGAGAGCCTGAAATCCCGTAACCGAATTTACCAGTTGGTCCGTACTCTGGCTGAAACAAGGGTGAATGACTACAGCCCACTGTTATTGATGCTGTGGAAGGCTAATATAGACATTCAGTTTGTAGCCGAAGCCTCTCTAGCTCTTGCTCACTATGTCAGTGGCTATGTTACCAAGGCTGAGCGTAGCAACATGCAAGACATCTGGCAGGAAGTTAGTGACACTAAGAGCATTTACAGTCGCCTTTTCAGCTTTGGTGTTAGAAGTTTACGGTTCAGAGAGTGTGGTCTGTATGAGGCCAGTGATCTACTGCTGGGAGACCACCTCACTGAGAAGTCTGACACAGTCAAGTGGGTAGACGTCTCCATGCCACACAAGCGATCCCGTAGACTGAAGAACCACAAAGTCTTACAAGAAATGGCTAGGCTGAACCCAGATAGTCAGAACATATTTGAGGATAATGTCTTAGATACATTCTATCCTCAGAGACCAGCCACCCTTGAGAATGTTTGTTTGTATGACTTTGTAGCCAATTATGAGTTTCAGGGTGTTGACACAAATGGTCAGAGAGTATACAAGAAACTTGGCAAGCCTAAACTCCCTAACCACAAAATCTTTGACCCTGAAAATGAGAACCAGAAACAAGATTACTTCTACTCTCTAGTGTTACTGTTCTCTCCATATAGAGATGAGAGTAGTTTACTGCAGAGTAATGAGACAGCTGAGCAGGCATTTCATAGACTACTCACTAGCCAGAGCTCAAGCTACCACTCGAAGCTGAGGACAGTGTTGGCAGCAGCATTAAATGTAAAGAGCATTAATGAAGCACGTCAGGCCAACATGGAAGAAAAAGAAGCTAAAGAAGACAATCAGCCTCAGCTGCTAGGTGAAGCTAGAACAGCCATGACTGAAGTTCTAGACATGAAAGCCAGTACCCCTGGTCAGCTGACTCTAGATGAGAGAGTGTCCATGCTGAATCAGGACCAGAAGAGAGTCTTTGAGAACATCAAGGCTCACTTCCTGCACCAAAAGTGTCATGAGGCAAAACAGTGTTCGTGTGATTTTGCACCTCTTAGATTGTTTGTTAGTGGTGTGGGTGGTACTGGTAAATCGTTTCTCATTGAGGCCATCAAGGCCCTAGTGAACGGTCTGTGGAATAGTGAAGGCCTCCTCTGTGGTATTGCAGCACCAACTGGGCTTGCTGCATTCAATGTCGGAGGTATCACTATCCATAGACTCTTCCAACTCCCTGTTGAGCATGCTACCAAAGCCACTAGCTATTGGCCACTGCCCAAAACATCCCAGAAGGTCATGAGAGAAACTCTCTCTGAAGTGAAATTGTTTATTGTAGATGAGATTTCAATGGTTTCCAGTATCAACCTGGCTTTTGTACACATGAGACTAGAGGAGTTGTTTGGTAGCCGTGAGTGGTTTGGGTCTCGGAACATGCTGTTTGTAGGTGACCTCCTCCAACTCCCACCTGTCCATGGGAATCCTGTTTTTGAGAAGGTTGCCACTAAATCAATCCTGTCCCAACTAGGGTGTGCAGCTGCCATCAATATTTGGAGAGATTGTGTTACCTATGATGAGTTGACTATTAATGAACGGCAGAAAAAATGATCCACAGTTTTCCTCCATGTTGGACTGTGTGAGACGTGGTTGTCCAACCAAGGAAACTGTGAGTGTGTTGAAACAGAGGGTCATACAGGTGTCTATCTCAGACAAGTTTTCTGAGCTACAACAGTCTGGCAAGGCACCGGTTTGCTTATTCCCCAAAAGAAAAGCCTGTGATAACCTTAATGCACAAATGCTCCACAAGAATGCTTCCGAAGTGCATGACATTTATTGTACTGATGAGATTGACGAAACAGCAGGCAATAGGAAGATGACCAAGAAGATCATTGAGCATTTGGATAAACTGAACGCTGACTGCAACATGACAGCTGGGTTGGAAGCCAAACTGTCTCTTGCAGTCGGTGCACGAGTCATGCTACGTCGCAATATTGACACCAAGGCTGGGCTGGTCAATGGTGCTATTGGTACAGTGCTGTCAATAGCAGCCCAGCATGTGACAGTGCAGTTTGATAATGTACCTGCTCCATGTAAGATTGATAAGGTTAGAAGCAGGTTCATGGTGATGAAGAATTTCTATGTGTACCGTAGACAATTCCCTCTAATTTTAGCCTATGCAATTACCATCCACAAGTGTCAGGGTCTGTCATTAGACTGTGCCATAGTAGACCTGTCTGAGGAGGTATTCAGTGATGGAATGGCATATGTGGCTCTATCCAGGGTTAGGTCACTAGATGGTCTGTTCCTAACAGCCTTTGATCCCCAGTCCATCAGTGTTAGTGTGAGTTCCCTGGGGGAAGTAAACCGCCTCAGAAAAACCCATAGACCTGATCTTCCTCTGTATGATATACCACACATCTCTAAAAGAAAGAGGAAGCTCACTGGTCTAGACAAAACTGTTTCCCCAAGTGTAAAAAAGGTCAAGGTGAATCCCTCATCTGCAAGGGATAATGAGGACTGTGTTATTACAGGTACAGAAACACCTGCTGCTACTCCTTTCAATTTCCACTCTGTAGATGTACAGTGGCAGCAAAGTGCATGCCAAGAGCTGGGCCTCCAATATTGTACACAAACACCAGTAAGACCAGGAGGACCCGCTGTCCCCCTCACACGTCCAGACATGCGTAGTGTGAGACGCGTACAGGGAGATGGTAACTGCCTCTTTCGAGCATTTTCTTACATTCTGACAGGGTCTCCAGATCAGCATATTGGTGTACGACATGCTATCCTTGACCACATGACAAATAATGCCCAATATTTCCATGCACACTGTTAGAGGTGAATGTCTGCACACTGACAATTGTGTTGTATGCCAACAGTAGTGAGTAATCCCTCAGGAGACTGGTCTTAGCTCTGACAGAATATTATCCTCCTCCCTTGAGGAGTGCACTCTACAGTCAGTATAGCTATGCCTGTCGGGGTACTACTACATTGAAGCTACACACTACTCACCTAAACATAAGTGAACATAACTATTGTATGCAGTATATCAGCACCCTTCCTACATGCACCTTCACATAGTATTCTGAACAAGGTGGTTACTATTTATAGGCTCCTCCTTTCTTACAACTACATATATATTATCTGGTTTTCCCCTGGGAAGCTTTCTACCTCTGCAGGTCTTTAAAGGCTGTGATCTTCTGTCTAAGGGGCACTGGTGTCTCAACCTAGCTGACATGTCAGAGGAAGGAGATCACTGTACCAGGCTTATCAGGGGCCTTAGCAGGTGGGGCTCTGAAGCGTTTTCCCCAGCCCTTATCACCATGCTGACTTTACACATCCTGTACCCTTATCACCACTGCTGACATAGCTATTGTAAAACCCTATCCTAGCCTTCTATACTATAATTTGGGTTGCATTCCTCACTCTTTTATTGGTGCATACCATCTTATGTTCTAAGGTGCTGTGCACTTGTCAGACCTGGACCCTACAAGCTTCTACTACACATCCACTATATACGCTCTTTGGCCTCCACCTTTGACTTCAGCTGGGTAGACCTCTTCAAAAGAGCCAACAATGTTCAACATTTCCACTAGTAATTATGTTGATGTATCACTTGCGCATGCGCCCACTACTGTCACAACCTCTACTGTGATAATTATGTTGTGAATAATGTATCTTACATACTCTATGACAAGTAACCATACATTTTTTATACAGAGCAAAAGAAAGAAAGATGTAGGGATGGATGTACGATTTTTGTTGTCGGCTGAAGCATCTTCTTGTTGGCATCCTTTTTCATAATTTACACCATCCCTACATCCCCCTTCATTTTGAAGAAATGATTTTTCCACTTGTTTAAATAAGAAACCCATATCATAATGTATGGGGAATGTGCCGGATATTTCCTGATTGTGCAGGAAATTCAAGCAAAATGTAAGAAATTTCCGGCACAACTTGCTCATGTGCAGGAAGAATATGAGGAAGCTTTAAATTCTTCCTGCACATGTCAAAAATATGGGGATTTTGCAGGAAACTTTTTCATTTCTTCCTGCACTTCTTGAAATCCTTCCTACACTTTTCACAATTCTTCCTACACATTTTATAATTCTTCTTGCACTTTTCTGAATGTGCATTTGTGAATGTGCAGGAAGGTTTTCAGTAAAGTGACATGGGTTTCTTCAGTTTATACCCTCACTTGAAAAACAAATTTTCATTTTTAAATGAGAGAGTGCTGTATGTATATATAGGATATACAACAGTTGTTGGTTTTCTGTATACGTGACTCACTGTGGTAACCTGCAGGGAGTTGTAGCGTGTAGCCCTTTTCATAAAATTTGCTTTACATGCCCATTACTATGTACTTACTAAGTACAGCAGCATTTGTTACTGTATACCTCAAGAGATATGCAAACTAGGCATGTATGAGTAGGCGAATGTTTTATTGCCTCGTTCTTAAAGAATGACTACAGGTTGCAGATATGTGGGAATGAGCAAAGCTCAAGTAAATGGCCAGTCCATGTCAAAGTATGCACCTGTGCAGAATTGAATACCACCTCGTTCACAAAAAGGAAACTGGGATATTTTCGCACATGTGTGATGAATGCCTGGACAACACACATTTATTTACGTGATTGCTGTTTGCATGTAACCGTCTAGAGAGGCTGTATATTATACTGTCTTCTCCAGGCATAATACACAACTGTTTTTGCCTACAGTCTCTCTGCCCTTCATTGTCCATGGCGACATCTTCCCATATGTAGCAACCAATTCCTGTTGCATATGCAGAGTCAGAGAATAGTTGTAGTTGAAATCTGTACAAGTAAATTTCCCTTTGCAACAACATAGTGTTAGTGTTCATCATAAACACTTCTAATTTCCCATGCTTTCAACCTTTTAACCAGTACAAACTTTAGAACGGTTAAGTAAACCATTTTCCCACCATTTCATTCACGCACTCTTTGCTTTCAATGTGTACAATACCATTGCACACACTAACAGTACCTGATTTCGGTGTATTGAATCTCAGACTCCAAATTTCACTCCAACGCCTCCACCTGATGCCAGTTTAGCGATTGTAGTGACTTGCGGCAAGAAAGAAACGATCGCTTGATGACCGTGCACACCTCCGGCGATATTGGAGACGTTCAGGGAAAAAATCAGCACTTCAACTGGTATATACTGGTAAGGAGATAGTGGGTTTAAAGAAGAAGAAGAAGAAGAAGAAGATGAAGAACATGATGACACGAAAATCGTGAAATTGCGTTTGAGCGAATTCTCGTGTGGGCGACTGAAGGTGCGTATGAGGTCTTTGGGAGCATGTTTAGGTAGATATTGGCCCGTAGACTATTGCTAGTGTGTTTTGAAGGCCCAGGGAGTCATTTTCACCGAGTTTTTAATCGTTATGTACACGGATCACGTGAGATTTCATCCCTATATTATAGAGTGTCTACCGATGCTCTATTATTTTACAGAGTATACGCATGTCATACATGCGATTCACACCTTGCCTCTGCGGAAGCACACACGCTCACTGATTTTTCACGTATTATTCTTTTCTACCAAGTTCTGTAGTTATATACTATTATAGCCACCACCAACACCATGCATGTGTATGCATATGTAAACCATGCATGACGGTGGGCAACACCCGTTATTTCACTTAATTATTCACATAATTTTTATCAATGTAATCAAGAAAATTTCATCAAACGCTAGAAAATATTGTTCTTCTGCAGAAAACTCATACCCCAACTGTGAGGTGGTGACAATTAAGCTAAACGACAGGCTGCAGGAGGAGAGTGAGGGGAAGAAGGTTCTAATTAACACCCGGCGCGCATGCGCAGCGAGGGTTACGGTAGTTGGTTTGTCTGTCTGTGTGTGTGTGTGTGTGTGTGTGTGTGTGTCGACGCTTATTCTGGAACTACAGGCTTCGAGGCGGCCCATTAGCGATACTAGCGGCTTCAGTACTACAAGAGCCTGAAAAATATAAGCCTGAAACGACTGCGTTCGAGAGCGACAAACTGGCACAGTCGTGGACCGCGTTGCGTGGCCCAACCCATCAATAAGCAGTGCGCATGCGTATACCAGACGCGCGTTGATCTTAGAGGCACAAGAAGCCACCACGAAGGTGCGTGTATCGACTCCCGAATGCTATCTAATACCGTAGCTAGCCCGTGTAAGACTCTCCGCGGCCTACTAGCGGGAGACCACGGGTAAACGCTAATAGCCTATTAGCGACACCGCACATGCGTACGTAGTTCGCCGAGGGTTTGCACTTTAGTGCTTAGTCTTTGAGATGGACTACAAGACTGGGATGTGGAGGAAACTCCAGTACACCAGTGAAATAATGTTACTACTGACAGTAAAGTATGACTAACAATTATCGTTACCCCATACTCCGCGTACGCTCGCGCCGTGCACATGCGCAATAAGTCTAGTTTACTGAGGAGCACGGAACGCGTAACGCTGAGAAAGCACGATCTCTTCTCCTAGCGGTGGCAAAATCCACAAGATATACCTCGATTTCTCACTTGTAAGCTCGGTAACTGACACTTTGCTGCTATAAACTCGTTTGTAGATGTTTCATTTCCTGAAATGCCTATATGCGGAGGCGAAGTTTTCGTTCCAGGAAGAGGAGCTTGTCTGCTCCGGCTGTCCTCCTTACTTCCTCGGGACGAACTAAGCGTAAGTAGTGGGCAGAGGATGCGATGACGGCAGCAATAAGTGCCGTTAAAGTGGGGTGACGGTTAAGCGAGCTGCTGACGACCATGGGGTGCCTGTAAGCACACTTCGTGACCGGATTTCTGGGAGGGTTGTCCACGGAACGAAGCCTGGCCCAAAGCCGTACCTTAGCAGTGAGGAGGAGAAGGAACTGAGCTCCTTCCTTAAGTCACGTGCAAACGTAGGGTATGGCAAAACAAGGAAGGACGTCTTGTGCATTGCCCAGTCTGTAGCAAGTGAAAAGGTCTTTTAAAGGGAAACAAAATAACCTCAGGGTGGTGGAGAAGATTTCTCGAGCGGCAACCTGAGCTTTCCCTCCGCTGTGGCGATGCAACCGCTCATGTTTGCATGGATGCTGTCAACAGTGAAACAATGAAGCAGTATTTTGCTCTCCTTAGTGATGTAATGACTGAGCATGGTCTGCATTCAAATCCTTCCAATGTCGATGAGACTGGTATCCCATTTGACCCCCGTCCCCCAAATGTTGTCACAACCAAGGGAACAAAAAAGTCCGCTATCGACAGTCAGGCCGGAAGGGGCAAGTCACTGTTGCTACTACGGCTAGCTAAGGAGCATGACGTAATTATGGTCTGTCTCCCACCACACACCACTCATGAACCTCAACCTCTGGATTGTGGTGTTTTCGATCCTCTGAAATCGCACTGGTCAAATGTTTGCCATGCATATTTGCAACAGAATCCACGGAAAATCATTAGTCGTTTTCAATTCAGTGCTCTGTTTTCCCAGGCCTGGGGTATTGCAGTATCTCCAGCAAAATGTCACTGCTGGCTTCCGCACATGTGGAGTCTATCCGTTTAATCCTTCTGCTATTTCAGTTACTGTGCCACCGTCAACATCGTCTAATGTCCCATGAAGGTGACTCTGGCAGTGCAGAGGAAACTGAAGAGTTCCAGGATGGTGGAGATCAAAGTTTGTCTTTGAACACATTCACGGCTGAGCAGGAGAAACACTTTCATATTCGCTATGCCTTTGCCTTTCTACCACGTAGTTTTCATGCCATTACTATATGTACTTACTATAATAATGGAGCAGCATTTGTTACTGTACCCAAACTAGGCATGTGTGTGTAGGTGAATGTTCTTATTGCCTCGCTCTGAATGACTACAGGTTACAGATATGTGGGAGTGAGCAAAGCTCGAGTAAATGGCCAGTCCATGTCAAAGTATGCACCTGTGCAGAATTGAACACCACCTCGTTCCCAAAATAGGAAACTGGGATATTTTCGCACATGTGTGATGAATGCCTGGATGCCACACATTTATTTACATGATTGATGTTGCATGTAACAGTCTAGAGAGGCTGTATAGCTACACTGTCTTCTCCAGGCATAATACACCACTGTTTTTGCCTACAGTCTCTCTGTACCTTTATCATCCATGGCGACACGTTCCCATTTCTAGCAACCAATTCCTGTTGTATCAACAACAACATAGTATTAGTGTTCAGCACAAACACTTCTAATTACCCATGCTTTCAACCTTTTAACCAGTACAAACTTTAGAACTGTTTTGAATGTCACTTAAGTAAACCTTTCTTCATTTAAGCACTCTTTGCCATTGCACTCACTAACAGTACTATGTTGGGAATCTCAGTCTCCAAAACTTCACTCCAATGCCTCCACCTAATATGCAATTGTCCGTTTTTAAACACCTCTAGTGTTCTCAAGTACAGTAGATTGGATGTGAAAGCTTAGTGCATGTCAAAAACAACGTAAGGCAGAAAGGCAATAGCAAAGCAAACAAGTGAAATCAACTCCTTTGTATCTATTGCTGTCAATGTTAGGTGAAATAAATTTTCAACACAATATACCTGATGTCCACAGGTGCATGTAACAAAGGAATTGGGTGAATCTTGGATGAAAATCACTACGGTACTTTTTTACAGTTAAGACAACATAAATATAATAATTCAAACGAAATCGGTGATTGTCTCTTATTCATAGCATTACATACAAAGCGCTTCAGTTCATTCGTTCGGAGTAATGATGAAGCAGCCCCTCTCTTTCACTGTTGGCTTAATTTTGACACCTGTAGCAGTGCGACGTAATGGTTTTCAGCACTCTCCAAACTACATAACTCCAGAGTACGATGTGAGGTACCAGCACAAGAATAGTCATAAATACTTTGGCAGTATTCTCTGTCTCAGGTGAATGAACAGTTCCTACCACCAACAAACTAATAAGGACTAGAAGTCCACCTGTTAGGATGTTAGAATTTCTGTCTTTGTAAGGCTGCTGCCATGTGCAGAAAAAGCCAATCACACAAAGAAAGATGGCCGTGATATATGCGCCTATGAATGTTCTTTTTGGTGGACCGTAAAATATTGCTATGACAGAAAGCAGCAGCCCGAGAAAGGGGCAAAAAAGAAGTAGTCCCCAGCCGCACAATGATCGATAATCTTGAGTTCCATTTGTACCATCTTTGAAACAACCGTTAAAAGTTTCCACATATGTTTTGATTCTAAGCCTCCACTTTGGACTGATCCAGTGACTGATCTTCCTGTACAGTGAGGTGGGGTAGACCACTAGGATGAGGAGAGGTGGAAGAAAGACAAACACTGCCACTGCCACTGAAAATGCCATTAACAAGATATGTTTGTTGGAGCCATAAGGAACGTTTGGATCAATGTATAGTGGCATATGACAAATAGAACAATGATGCAAAGGCTTGAATCATGGATGATCTTGGGTCCCAGGCTCTGTAAAACTGCACATATACTCTGCTGAACCACCTCCACAAGTATACAACGGGCGCAAAGTTTTTTCTATGCATTTCTATCACTGCATAAGTCAGCAGCAAAAGTACAAAAGGATAAGCAGTTGCCACGAATTCTAGGAATGGTATGTAAAACTCTTCCATGTGATGTGATATGCATAGGTGAGGAGAGACGAAGAGCAGAGCATCAAAGCTCCATACTGCACTTAGAGTTAATGCTGCCTTTGCTGCGTTTGTGATAGCATCATGTGGCTTGACAAAAATCCACAAATCTAACCTGAAATAGATCACTGACAAATTACAGAAGAGTACATAGTTGGCCATTGGTCCCGAAGTAATATTTGGCCTAAATATGATGACAATTAGAAACATCCCCATGGATGGCAAGTATTGTAGTAGGAAGTAGTAGAAGATATTAATAGGACTACATGGAACACATTCAGTTCCAATTGAGTACACTGATGGCCCTGTGTCATGGGCGCACCTTCCACACATTGGACCTTTCACCTCTCGACTGAGATTTCCACACACAACTCTGTTTAACTCACTGACGTTTGCTGGGAGGGTAAACATGTCGTTCTTTGTTGCATGCACAGGAAAGAAAAATAAGCACAATGTGGCACTTGTAGTGTCTTCCTTGCGGTTGTAGAAAATGCAGGCGCCTTGTGAGATTGAAGATCTCTGGTTTCTCTCATGAAGTTTTGCACTTGACTTGGACTAAAAGCTGCATTCAAATTTAGAGCCCGAAACTATGTTAACAAGGCATTGATGCCTCGCACGTTCATTTGCACTTTAGTGCTTTCGTTTTTGAATTTTCCACCGACGTATCTGCACAACTTACAATAATGCACCTGCAAGAAAACAGAATAAAAAGTGTAGCACTCCATATCTCACTTGCGTTTGCTCACCAGAAGTTAACGTTCATTCCCAGATCAGAGATTCTATACAGAATTTCATGAAGAAAGTTTCAGTGTACTTTTCTACGGTGAAATTCTTAGGAGGGCTTGTGCTCCTTCAAAAGAAGTCTCTGTCTTTCACTGTTGTGACACCTCCAACAACTTGAGTATGAAACAACGTTTGCTGGGAGGATAAACATGCCGTTCCTGTTGCATGCGTTGGAAAGGGAAATATACACCAAGAACCTCTTGTGATGTCTTCCTTATGCTCGAGGAAATGCAGGAGCTTGTGAGATTGAAGATCTCAGGTTTCTCCATCACAATGTAGAAGTTTTGCACTGACTTGGACAGGCACAATATCCAGAGAATCTGAGGTATTCACCCATTCAAACATGGAGGACACTCCTCATACAGTCAACCAAGCATACTGGCGTACAAAGTGTTATAAGCATTGAGAGGACCAAATCCATTTTCTCTGTCTTGTATACAGACGTTTTCTTGATGTGAGAAAAGTAAAAGTGAGGAAGTCAGCTCCAAGGATCTTTGTATATAACTATCTATGAAAATAGAAAATACTACTCTGTATTGCTAAACACATCAAAATAAGGTATTTGTGGGTTGTTGGAAAGATTTAGTTGCAGTATGGGGTCAGATAATTACTGTGAGTACAGAGTGTGCTATCCAATGTCATCCCCAGAGGTATGTATTAGTTATACAGCCACTGGTTTGTCCCAAGCCTTACCAAAGGACATGTGTAGGGCTACTCTATGTACATATGTAAACTCTTTGGTAATCACTCAAGCTTCACAAACCCACACACGCCCACTCAGAAGGCAGGTATTGGAGGAGTATGAAGTACACAACGTTTGTGGAATGCATGAAACACATTCGGTCTCTGTCACTACACCTCGTT